CTAATAAAGAAAATATTTGAAGAAATTTGTACAAATATGTGTTTGTTTAAAAAAATTTAGAAGCTATTTTTCAAAGAAGGGAGGGGAGCCTTGGCATAACTGGTAAAGTTGATACAATGTGAACAGAAGGTCACGGATTAGAGCCGTGGAAATAGCCTCTTGTAGAAATGTAGGGTAAGACTGTATACAATAGACCTTGTGGTCCGGCCCTTCCCTGATCCTCGTACAGCGGGAGCTTAGTGTACCGGGCTGCCATTTATTTTTTGAAGAAGTGGTGTAAGGTTGTTTTAAGAAAGTTCCCCGACCTACAAAACACTTACAACCTTCAAAACCCTACAACTATTCAAACACATTTTATTTTTGCTTGATGTCTTTTTTAGAAAAAGGGAATTACGGAAAATTTCTTTCACAAGTTGTCCAAACAATTTTGCAAAATTCTGTAATGAACTCATTAGCTAATAGATGAAGTTAGTAGTTAGAGCATCCCTTTTCAAACCAAGATTTAAAGTGGTTGCTTCTGTTGATGGATAAGTTCAAATTATGACTTAAATCTAATTCAGCATTTTTAGAACAATGAAACTTTGGTGGTGAAGGAATAAGATGGTTCTTTTGGAAAATAGTAAAGAGCTAGAGTTTGAATGTTTATGCAAGTGGATGTGTGCCTTCTACTACTCTATGGATACTAATGCTACTTGTTGGCTTACTGTTACATTTGTCCCTTTTTTATGAATCAGGCAGACCAGCCCAGATCCTCAAATAGAGCTTTTACTCTGAACTGTCTGAGGTGTGCCATTCTTGACGATCTCATTTCCGAAAATGAGTGTGGTGGTAAGTCCCATGCTTCCTTTCACGGTGAACTGCGTAATGTGATAAATTCATTTTTTCCACTGATAATTGCTTCTTTTGTACATCTTTTTTCTAGTGATAATTGATCGCCCTAGTTTTTAGTTTATTTGCTGCATTTTTTGACAGAGTATATTACCTTATTTACTCTTTGATAAGTTTGACAAACTCCATTGCTGTATTATCTTACATAATTTTAGAGGTCGCCATCACTAGCTCAGCCTTGATTGCAAGATGAGGTTGTGCAACGGGAAAAATGAATGCAATAGATGATTGATGATGGGCAGTATTGCTTATCCTTAAACTTGGTGGTTGTCGGTGGAACCCCATGAGAAGAGTTAGAATGGCAGTTCCTGTCCCTTGAGCGCTACCAAATAAATGACTACTTGAACAGGGGGTATTGCTCATAATTGCATAAATATTGGCCAGGATATTTAAACTGGTCTCGTTCCACAAAAAGTCTAGTAGCATCATATGTTTAACAACAACAACAACCCAGTAAAATCCCTCAAGTGGGGTTTGGGGAGGGTAGAGTGTACACAGACCTTACCCCTATCCCAAGGGGTAGAGAGGCTGTTTCCGATAGATCCTCGGCTCAAGCATGCAAAGCAACAATGAGATAGGGAAATAAATGGACACAATATGTGGATATCAAGGATTCAAGTCGCATTCTTGAACCCCAAACAATGCAAGGCACCAACAAAAAGCAAATTGGGAAATATTCAATTTGGTGAAAATTTCATAAATACAACCAGAAGCTACACTTGTCGACCTAGCATCTGGGAGCCATTAACTTCATACCACACGTTCCAGCAAAAGTAAAGGCCTCATTTCAAATTGTAACTTGAAGCTACACAGATTGTTTCTTTTAAAATTTTATTGCTCCGAGTGTTCTGGTCTGAATTATGTTGTTCTTGCTCAAAAGCCCGTTGTGATGAGTTCTATCTCTTGGGTTGTCATATTAACATATTTGCAAGGATCTATGTTATAAACTAACAAGACATGTTTCTTTCATTTGAATGGACTTTTCTTTATCACTATTCAGAAGCAAAGGATACTACCGAACCACCCTTGCAATGCAGAAGTGGAGGTGGACAAGATCAGCAACTTACCAGCACAGATTGTTGACAAGATTTTGTCTCATTTGTCACTTAGAGATGCTGTGAGGACAAGTGTTTTATCCAGTAAATGGAGATATAAATGGGTTACTCTTCCAAACCTCGTATTTGACAATCACTCTCTTTTGATCTCTTCCCAAGACCAAACCTTCATAAAAAATAAGATAGTAAACATTGTTGATCATGTTCTCTTACTTCATTCTGGTCCCATACACAAGTTCAAGCTTTCTCACCGGGATCTTCAAGGGGTGTGTGATATTGATAGATGGATTCTCTTTCTATCAAGAGGTTCTGTGAAGGAATTTATTCTTGAAATATGGAAAGGACACCGCTACAAACTCCATTCTTCTATATATCTTTGTCAAAAGTTGATCCACTTGGAGCTGTTTAATTGTCTTCTAAAACCTCCTCTCTCATTTAGTGGCTTTAGAAGCTTGAAAAGCCTTGATCTTCAGCACATCACCATGGAACAGGATGCATTCGAGCACCTTGTATCGAGCTGCTATTTACTTGAGCGGCTTACACTAATGAATTTTGAGGGTTTCTCTGATCTTAAAATCCATGCACCAAATCTCCTCTTCTTTGACATTGGAGGCGTCTTTGAAGACATCAATTTTATGGACACATTCAATCTTGCCATCGTTTCAATTGGGTTGTATGTTAATCCTGGATTTGACAGAAATCTTACTCTAGGCAGTGCTGGAAATTTGGTAAAGTTTTTTGCTCATTTGCCTCGTATTCAAAGGCTCGAAGTACAGAGCTTTTTCTTGAAGGTATTCTTCATACTTATTTTTCGTGTTATGATTGCCGATTTCCCGAGAGTTCATGGCAACTTCTCTTCCCAAACATTTGTTTTCTGTAAAACTTCATACTTTCTGGTGTTTGGTTGTCTAACACACTGCAATATGATTATGGACTATGGTCAAAGTCATTTAATACTACCACATGAAAAATGACTTGTGTCCTACGGTGCAAGTCATATTTTATTATGAATCTCCCACTGTCGCTGCCCATTAGTACTCACTAGTCCTTATCTGAACCATTGTAATCACCAGTTATGATTCACTATTTCAAAATACACTATCATCACATTTGCCATTACTTTCTACTATTGCCATTGGCGTCATTTTAGATTCACTGGAAATTGTTTAAGAATGGTTTCTTGAAAAGATTTTGACAAATACGCTGTTGTGTAATATATCTTGTACCCAGCCTAACAGGCCCTTACTGTTTTTATTTTTTAAACTCAATGCAAAAATTTGCTAAAGGATGCCTTTGCCAAATTCTCTCCCTGCATTATTTATTGGATGCTTGAAAATGGAGAAACTAAGTCAACTTTGGAGGAAGTTTTTGCATTGGATATTATGCTCATTACAAATGCTAATCATTGTTATGCCCACAGTATCTGGCTGATGGTAAGGTACCAGGAAGACTATCTACACCTTGTAACGAGCTTAGTTTTCTTTTGATACGCATAAATTTCAACCATTTTGATGAGTGTCTGGCAGCACTTTGCCTTCTCAGAAGTTCCCCTAACCTACAAGAGCTCGAGCTGTTGGTGAGTTTCAGATATCACTTGAACTTCATTAGGACCAATCTTAAACTGGCATCGCCACGCTTGACTGCATTGATATATTCATATAACTCATACCTATTTTGCAGCTTTTGTATATTTCTCAGTCTATGTTGAACTGTGCCTTTAAAGTTTTATGCATTCATGTCGTTGTTGTTATGTAGGCACGTACAGAAGATCAACTTGATCTGAGAACAATGGCCAATGTTATGGAAGAGAACTATCAGAATTGTATGTTTAATCAACTGCGGCATGTTAAAATTGCTGGTATTTCTGGCGTAAAACAAGAGCTGAATTTCATCAATTTTCTGCTTGCAAATTCACCTATTCTTGAAAGGATGACAGTTAAGCCTGCTTCAGTTGATGGTGCATGGGAGATGTTAAAAGAGTTGCTTCGCTTCAGGAGAGCTTCAGTACAAGCTGAAATTGTTTACCTTGATCCTTAATCGGTAGCATGTCAAAGCTAGAGAGCTTAAGGCCTAGTAAGATCTATGGTTTTCAAGTATGAACTTGGCTATATTAGTTTAGCATATAATGTAGAAACTGCGCTAGGTTGTCTAATGACACAGATGTTAAGATGAAAGCACCAACATGATTGGCCTAGGTATTGGAAACAGAAAGATGTTTCATACTCGGTGTTACTGAAAACTCGTTATCTCATATGGTCAGTATGTGAAGTCTTCAAAATACAAGTTGCATATTTGTACTAGTCCCATAGATAGGGAAGATGGTTCAGAGGACGACGGAGCCCTCTTGTTCTTTGCTGATGCTAAACCCCCATATGAATAGGTTGGTACACGATACAAACCAACGACTATATAATAACTTTATCACACGTTAAAATGCTATCGTCCCATTACTATTTATCATGTCATTAAGCTTATAAAGTTTTGTCCAAATTGTATAGAGTATCTCTTCTTATTTCAGTACCTTCGTCTCATTCTCATTCCTCTACTTCGAAATTTTATTTTTCATATTTAAGGGGATAAACAGTTTCAACACCTTTTTCTCCTCTTCTTCCTTTTAGCCTCCAAGAGGATGGGCATTTCACTTGCCCCTAAATATTCCTTTGGTCATTATACCTCACATAAAATCATATAATCCTCACATAAGATCATATAATTTTTAACTGATCGCATAAGAAATATAAAAATATTCTTTTTGGATAGTTAAGAATCATCGTAAAGCTATTGCGACAACATAAGAAATACTAATAGTCACCGCAAAGCTACTGCAATTTTGGATGATAGCATATTAATATATGTATAACTTATGTGAGGACTTATATTTTATTTTATAAGCAATAAAAGTAGAATAAATCTCTAGTGCTTTCCCCTTCACGGTGCAATACATCAATGAGACTAGTTATCAGGATATCAAATTATTATTATTATTATTCAAAAGAAAAAAAAAAAAGAAATTTCTGAGTCTCCTTGGGTATTGCCGTGTTGGGATAAGGGATCGGGGATTAAACAGTCCGTTCAACCAAACAGGCCCTTACCCATCTGCTTTACATTATCCGCTGCTCTTGCTCCCCTTCAAAATTCCACCCTTCACTCTCCGAGAGGAAATCGAAAATGGCGATTTCTCTCACCTCATCCTTTGCTTCTCTCTCCTTCTCCTCACAAATTTCTCAAAAACCCTATGCCATATCTCTCGCACATTCAAAGCCATTCCCTTTATCTCTCACTTCCAAAATCCCTACACTCGTAGTATCAGCTTCCGTCGCCGAAGCACCAGCGGCGCCGGAGTTAGAAACGCGAGAGGAACTTCTGAATCTTGTGAAAAGTAGACTTCCCGGCGGTTTTGCTGCACAGCCTATTTTCGGAACTGGTAGACGTAAAAGCGCCAGTGCTCGTGTTGTCCTTCAGGAAGGTTCTGGAAAAATCATCATCAATTATCGTGATGCCAAGGTCCGCTTCGTTCTCCTTTCTCAGTTGCATTTAACGATATGCTTTGCTTTATAGAAATTGTATTTCTTAAATTTATTATAGCGGTAAAATAGAATTGCCTTTTTAAAGTTTCAGTGGAGATTTGTGTATGCTGAATTAGTGTGAGATGTAGAGAACCTAATGTGCCTTGATTGAGAAATTGCTTAGTGTTCGATGAAATGGACCAATTAGAGCAGAGTGCTTCAACCAGTTCGCAATATATATATGTAGAAGACATACACACAGGCACTAACGTGGCTAAGTTGGCAATTTTTTTTATTTTTTTTTGGATGAAATGAACCGATTGAAGCTGAATGATTACAGAAGATTCATGTAGCCGACATATATAAAATTATCTGTCATTGGAACAATTTATTGCAGATGATAATTTGGAAAAACTTTTTCGCTTCTCAAGCAACTGCATTAGGTAGTATGTTGCTCAGTTTCATAAAATAAGCAGGTAGCCCATTCGTATATCATGTTTTGACCATGATTTTCACGTGTCTTATTTAAAAGTTGCTGTTTGCTAAATTGGTCACTTAAAATGGATGTAGATAGCAGGGTTTAGGAAGACAAGTAGTGCTTCATAATGTTCTATGTGAAGAAATTTATAATGGAAGGACACCTCTCTTAGAGTGTATAGAGATTGTAAAGTGGGATTTGACTTGGAAAAGTAATGATAGCAAAGTTGCAGAGGAAGCATAATTGATAACTTTGAGTTTCTGAGAAATGCATGCGTAAACTAGTTCTCTGAATCATCGGTGCATATAAGTTATAACAGAAACATAAGAACAAAACTTTTCCGTTTCAAATTACATGACTAAAAGCATGGCAGAAGTTGAATAATTAGATATGCAGGACGTGCTAAGTTAATATAAGGAATGAAGTTGTCGTTAGCAGACTCGAAAACCCTTAACTTGGGATCAAAAGGTGTGTGAAATTTGTACTTCTATAGTGTTGCTATGGGAACTCTCGACTTTTTGGGAGTGTAATTGTAACAAGCAATGCTGTAACTTTTTCTTTTTGAAGTACCTCCTTGGTACTTTGTTAATGAAATTTATTTTACCTTATCAAAAAAGTAAATGTTGCTATGGAAGTGCATCTACATTATTGAGTTCTCTGTCATATACTCGGTGCCCAATGAGGCAAGTCATTAACATTCTGATTAACATTGCCTGCTTCTTTTTTTATGTAATGTATTGCTATCTTTTTCTTCATTGCTTTGTTACTTTGATTCTATGAGACTAACACTTGTCATGAATCGCAGGAATATCTTCAAGGAAATCCGCTGTGGATTCAATATGTTAAAACTCCTCTGGCCACTTTAGGATATGAGGCTAGCTATGATATTTTTGTCAAGGTGGAAGGTGGTGGTCTTTCTGGGCAGGCTCAAGCAATCTCCCTTGGCATTGCTCGTGCACTCCTGAAGGTCAGTGAGAGTCATAGAAAACCATTGAGGGAAGAGGGCCTGCTAACTAGAGATGCCAGAGTTGTGGAGCGGAAGAAAGTTGGTCTCAAGAAGGCTCGCAAGCGTCCACAATTTTCCAAGCGTTGAGGTCATTCTCCAAATAAAATATCAGTTCGAAAACCTGTGCGCTTTTCCACTGAAGCACACAGGTGCAAGAGCTTCTAATGGGATTTACTCACGCTTTCTTTTCTTTCCATTTCTAGGTTGGGAAATTCTTATTTACCGTTGTTGCATTTCGTAGAAAGGTATGGAAATCATCATAGACCATTGCTTTATTAATACGTAACGGATTGATCAGCATGAAATTCACAACCATATTATGGATTCCCCAATGCACTTTTTCCCCCTTTTGTGAATAAAAGAATGATGTAAACCATGATTTGTGTTTGTAATTCTTTTTGCTTTTGGTTTTCAGTTTAGGTGGTTTTGTTAACGCAGATTGGGGAAATACCATATCAATGATCTGGTTCGACTGTTGAAGATTGGAAATGTTTCCGATCCATTACTCAAATGCTTCTTGTAAATTTTGTATCAGTCTTGACTCAGAAGTACAATTGAATCTGCTGAAGTTGTTATTGAGTTTATAAGTCTAGATTTACATTGTAAACATTCACCGAGACAGTTGAATATAATTTGAAGATTTTGTTACCTGTTAATTTTTAAAGCCTTGAATGAAATGGGTCCAGACTCCAGATGGAGCCATATGAATAGTGAGAAATGTCGACTATTAACAGCTATTGGATTGAGATATGATTGTAAATTAGGGCAATTTTTTGTGTTAGTTACCGCAATAATAATAATAATAACAACAACAACAACAATAATTGCTTACATCAAATGAATGAATTTAAAACATTTGTTTCTTATAAATACATTTATCACTAACCATGGTTGTATCCTCACTATAATTTGTAACCGTATTAAATTAATTAATTTGGTTTAAACAAGGAGTGTAGATAAGTATTGACCAACTCAGTTTAATCAAATTTTCTTCACATTATTCACAACTATCTTCATTTCCAAACACTTTTTTTATCAAATCACCAAAAAGTAAATTAATAAATACAAGTAATAGACTGAGGCAAAATTAGTTGTTCAGTATATGGTTTAGCGCCTTTTCTTCTACCTTCTTCTCTTCTACACTATTTACGGTCCACCTTCGCTCTAATTAATTTTTTAAAAGAAAATAAATGGTTAACCAATGAGCAAGGAGTGCCAGTGAACAAAGAACCTATATAAAGGCCAAGAATATCACAAGAAGCAAAAATCACTCTGCTTTTCTCATTAATTTCCTAGGAAACAACAAATCAACAACCTTAGTAACATCAAAAAGTACACAGACAAAGAAAAGACAAAGATTGTCTCTAACTGGAGGGGTTATTTGCTTCCCCTCCAAAATTCGTCACCAATATTTTGAATTGGTGACGAATTAAAAAGAAGCAAATTTCCCTTCTAAAGAATTAACCTTTGACTAATTTACCATTTTTTTGCCATATTTTTCATTTTTGAGCTTCCCATAAATTATTCCAATGGAGGATTCTATGTATGGCAGTAGTGACGAGGAATACTATAATGGAGCGTACGATGATGATGAAAACGACAATGAATATGATCGTGACCCTGAACCTGAATATGATAGTGACGTGTCCTGTGGCAAAGCTCCTTCTTGCAGGGTATAGTATAAATTTTCCCAGAAATCATTTTCTTCTGCCTTTTTCCTCTTGTGATTTTCCCCCCTTAAACTTATGGTAAGAAATATAATGCTGTGTTAAATTTGACTATGAAGTTAAGTTCTTGAATTCTGCTTACATGGCTGGTAAAGGATGGTTTTTCCTTGATTAAGTTGTATTATAGGTTTGCACTATTTAGTGAGCCTTTTTAATTATGTTTAAAAAATTGTGTCACTAGAAAATGGAGAAAACTTCTAATGTTAAAGAACTTATAATTAATTACTCCCTCCGTCTTAATTTATGTGACACTATGCTTTTCTAGATTCAAATTATGTGAATTTTGACCATCATTTTAAAATATATATTTTTCATCATATCGACCTGAGAAGAATTGCAACGTATGGTACTAATCGTATAGTTTCTTAATACCTAAACTTTAGTTTTAAAATATTGAGTTGATCTAATTCAATTTAGCTTTAAAGATTAGTAAAATTGACTCTTGAGAAGCAAAAAGTGTCACATAAATGGGGACGGAGGGAGTATTTAAATGAAACGCGTCCAGATGGAGCAGGTTGCATATTAAAGATTCAGCTGGTTCCATAAAGTTTGGATTGTTGTTGTTGCGGTTGTTTTTTGCTCGGTTGAGTAATTAAGAACTAACCTGTTTTAGTTTGATAAGGATAGGGTGTTGCTTGAGGATATATTTTGACTTCTTGTAAAATGGCATTGATTTCCTCTTAACTCATTTATAGAAAGCAAATGGCCCTTCAATTATGTGACCTTTGGTATTTGATATGCTGATAGTTGTGTGATGTCTCGTGTCTTTTTAAATGTGAGAATTAGTCCTTCTTTTTGGCTTTTGCAGGTAATCAGGAAAGAGTCCCTTTTAGCAGCACAGGTGAGCACATCTTTGTCCGAAAATTTCCTTTTTTCAATCTGTTATTAATGTCAGAGATGTGAAGCATTTCTATATATTTGCAGAAAGAAGATTTGCAGAGAGTGGTGGACTTGCTTTCTCTGAAGGAACATCATGCACGGACGTTGCTTATTCATTATCAATGGGATGTTGATAAGGTCTTTGCAGTGTTTGTTGAAAGAGGGAAAGAAAAATTGTATGCGGAAGCTGGTGTATCACTTGAAGAGAAAGATGATCAGCATCCTGCATCCGAGCCCTCAACTGAAATAACATGTGAAATCTGCTTTGAAGATTTCCCTGCTGAGGAAACGACGATGATGGATTGCAATCATAGGTTTTGCAATGATTGTAAGCATCTTTCATCATTCCCCCTAATCTCTCGTTCTGTATTTGCTTTTGAATCACGTGTCCGCTTATTGATCAGCATACAACAATGCTGTTAACTTCCTTTATAGGTTATTGTCCAGCCCTTTTACATTTCTGTTGTCATGTGTGAGCCTTATGATCCTTCTCATTTTACTGCATCATTAAGTAATGGCATGAACCATATGTAGAGGCCATTTCCTTACTTGGTCACGCTTAAGGTTTCTGCATTTTTAGTCTTGTATGATAGTGATATTTCTTGTCTTCTAAAGTTAGACAACAAGATTTGTTTGATTGAGCTACATGTTGCTCTCAGTTCTATGGATTTGTAACTCCTATTTATGAATGGTGTAGCCTAAAGGTTGGTTTTTTTCATTTTTCTTGCGTAGGTTGGACGGAGTATTTCATCGTAAAGATAAATGATGGGAAGAGTAGACGTATAACATGCATGGCTCAAAAGTGCAAAGCAATCTGCGATGAAGGAAAGATTAGGGATCTAGTCACTGCAAAGGATCCTAATTTGGCGGAGAAGTTTGATCGTTTTATCCTAGAATCATATATTGAGGATAATAAGAGGGTTAAATGGTGCCCTAGTGTTCCTCATTGTGGAAATGCAATTCGTGTTGAGGATGACGAGTACTGTGAAGTTGAATGTGCATGTGGTAAACAATTCTGTTTCAATTGCTTGTGTGAACTGCACTCACCCTGTTCATGTGTGATGTGGGACCTTTGGCTTAAGAAGTGCGACGATGAAGCACCAACCGTCACTTGGATGTCAGAGAAAACCAAGCATTGTCCCAAATGTCATAAAATTGTCGAAAAGGATGGAGGTTGCAACCTTGTACAGTGTATATGTGGACAGCCATTTTGGTAAGACAAATATAGTAGATCAATTAAAGGGGAGCCTTGGCGTAACTGGTAAAGTTGCTGCCATGTGACCAGGAGGTCATGGGTTCGAGGAATCAGTCTCTTGCAGAAATGCAGGGAACAATAGACCCTTGTGGTCCGGCCCTTCCCTGGGCCTCACGCATAGCGAAAGCTTAGTGCACTGGGCTGCCCTTTAAATATAGTAGATCAATTCCTCTTACTTGATGCTTATGATCATATTAACATTTTTTGCAAAATGTTCTTTTTTAGTTGGCTCTGTGGTGAAGCTACTGGACTAGAACATTCATGGAGTAGTATACAAGGTCACACTTGTGGCAGATACAAAGAAAGCCATTTGAAAAGTGCAGATACCATAGAGGACTATTGGCGCCTTACTCACTATTATCGTCGCTATAAGGCTCATATTGATTCATTGAAGATTGAAGCATCTGAATCAAAGCCAAAAATACTTGATAAAGTCCGTAGTCTCGAAGCAAAGGAATTGCAGTTAAAAGATTTCAGCTGGGCAATGAGTGGATTTGATAGACTCTCCTTATCAAGGCGAGCTGTCGCATGTTCCTATCCATTTGCATACTACTATTTTGGTGATCTTTTCGCAAATGAAATCACAAAAGAGGAAAGGCAAATAAAGCAAAACCTTTTTGAGGATCAGCAACAGCAACTTGAAACAAATATTGAAAGACTTTCAATGTTTTTAGAAGAGCTATTTGCTAACTATCCTGAAGATAAACTTATGGAGACAAGAATGAAGATCATTACTCTCTCCACGGTAACTGATGATCTCTGCAAAAAGTTGTGAGTGTACATTAATACATCTAATTTGTCAAATGCAGTGTAGATATTTGCAGCAGCATCAGGTATATCGTATTTTTAAGTATTGAAGTTGATTCCTCAATTTGACTTTTTTCAGGTATGAGTGCGTTGACAACGATTTGCTGGTTCCTCTGCAGCAAGCAACTCATACGATAGCTCGTTATAGATCCAAGGGTGTGGAGAAAGCATCAGAACTTCCTAATTGACATTCTACGGCTTACTATACGTGCAGATATATATACTCTCAATGTATATTTAGCTATAGAGAGCGCTCTGAAAGTCTTATTTTTGTGAGAAATGTTCCGGTTGAAACATCAACTTGCTGTAGTTTCTAAAAAGAGGTCCAGGATCTTGTCTTTTGTTCGTAGTATAATGTACATTAATATGTCACAGGCCAAGCAATTGTATTTTTGAATAGCTAGTAGTTAGTGTATCTGAGCATATTTTTTTGTGTTTAGAGGGCCAATGATTTGCTATTGCAAGATCCATTTTGTAAAATGGTACTAGGAGCTGTTATTTATAAATTAACCACATGTTGCTTCCATTTGCGGGAAAACATTTGGATTAATTATGAGTCATAGCCATACTAAACATAAATCGTTTAATTATTTTCTATTGGGGGAGCTAAAATTTTCATCGTATCAATACAATATATACACATTTTATAATTTTTCGACAAATGTATCAATACATAATATATACACATTTTATAATCTTTACTTAAGGTCAGATTATATTTCAAATATTTTGTTCGTTGCAATAAATTATATTTTTGAGATTTAACTTGTTTATGGTCAAATTATTTTCTTACAGAAGTTTCAAGACAAGGCAAAATAATGTATTGCCGGAATTGGGCTGAAGACCAGATAAATCGAAATATTTAACTTGATTTGGAGGGGTGCGCCAGGCCCAAGCAGCAGTGCAACGCATGGGCGACGCGCGAAAGCCCAGATAGCAAGCTACCTTAGTAGACTTTCCCCCTTAAAAAATTAAGTTAATATCGTGT